AGATAGGCACCTGTCCCAGGGAGGTCTGTCCTTTTACTGCAGGCTCTGACAGAGTGATTGCTCCAAGGGGGTGGCCACAGGGCTAAACTGTTGAACAGTTTTCTTCCCTGGAGTTTTCTCAATTGGAGGTGGAGGAGTATTGGATTTCAAGCTACAAGTATTGCATAAGAGCTTCCAGCTGTATGGGTACTCTCCATCTCAAAATGTCTGAGAGAATGAGATTAGAGACCCAAGCCAAGATGAAAGATGGAAAAGAAGGCTTGACATGATTCAAGTAACCGGCTCTAGCTGATGCAGAGATTAGTTCTACCCCATTCACTGCTGTGATCCCACAACCTTCCCTTAAGATAGTGTAAGTTTTGTTTTAATGTCATTGGCATTTGAAGAATGTGGATTAATACAAACTGTTAACCCAACATGACATAGTATATTTATTTGTTCTCTCTAGGTCTCACGGGGGAAGACAGCATGCTTGCCTGCTTGTCACTGTGCACAATGCAGTGCTTGGAACTTAGCAGATGATCGTCAAATATTGCTCAATAAATCAATATATAAATGCTACAACTACTTTAACTAGAAGGATATTATATGCTCGTAAGAATGAGAGCACCAAGTAAATCCTTAGACAGAAGTTTTGAAGAGAGTGGTGATACAGTGAATCTACTCAAAGAATAAACAAGATAAACTCAGTGAAATAAGACATTTCAGTATCGGAGTTGAGAGAGAGAAGCAAAGACTATCTCAACGGATCCTTTGCCTCTCATGGTGATGGTAGTGGAGAGGAGGAGGAGGGCATACTGAGACGGGACTGAATGAGGAGATGTAGAGCTACACCACTTTAAACATTCTGCGCCTGAAGTCTTTCCGCATGTTACACCAATGTAGTCTGAAAAACTGGAGAATGACCAGCAGCACGGACGGGAGGCACTATTGGTAATCACCAGTCTCCATTCCTTACCGTTTCTCCTGTGGCATGACACACGGGGAAACCCGCCACCGGGTCCTGTGGACAACAGAGACCGGATCTTCCTCGGATTGTCTTCTCCAAAGGGTTGGATGGAAAGGGGCAAGAGAGTGTGGGTTTCAAGATGGTAAAATAAACCAGAGACTCTAGGAACTGTTTCTCTCCATAGTTAACTGGCCCTTGGAGATGAAATTCCCATGTTATCTTCTGAGCCACAGTCTTCAAAATATCCCAGTCCCCTGACCCCTACAAACAAACTTCAAGCAAAGCCCTTCGGGAATGCTTATCTCACGCACAATGCAAGCCTAATTGGCATCCTGAGTAATGGTTTCCAGAAGAGATTTAGGGTGTGTCCTTTGGGTGGGAATCCCTGATGCCACGTACTTAGTCTCCCCAATTTGCCTCAGCTGACATAGATCCTCTGGGTTTAGGGAAGTTTTATTTCTCACAGGTGATGCTCCTCGTTCTTCACGATTGCTCATGTCAGGCCAGGTATTTCCTCATTCTAGCTGTTATGATTCCTGCTGAGGAAACGTCATGTCGTCAGGAAGGGGCTTATTCTCAAAACACCAGTGCTAGAGCCAGATTCTTACTTCATTAAAAGGGAAAGGAGGTGTAAAGCTAAGAAGAGAGTGCCTTGAATGATACAATAGAACATGAATTACAAAATAGATTTTTCTTCTGACTTTGGACTCACTGATGATGACACTGGTATTAAGTATAGCTTTTTAACCAGGAAACATTAACGTAAATTGTTATGATTCAAGTGCTCATTGCTATCTTTGGATGGAGAGGGGGCTTATATGTTTGGGGGCTGAGAAGGCATATGCATGATTCAAAGGCTCAACTAACAGATTAAAGAAAAGTTTAGTTACTTAATTTGTCCTGATGCATGATGATGGAGTTCAAAATCTGAGCACATTTTGCAAAAGCGTTCCAGAATCACACACTGTCTTGCTCCTGCTGATGCTCTGTCATTAAGAGAATTGGTGTAAACAATAAAGACTGTATAGATGATATCCTCTGTGCTATTCCTCAGTAAATGGCAGTTTTAAGAGTTATGATGGGAATCTGATGAGCATCTCAGAAAGGACCTGTTTGGATGTTTAGTAGCTAATGTGTGTGTCAGTGTGGAACTATTCTGCATCCTCTATTTCACTACTGTACTTGTGTTCCCCACAAGAAACCTTTACTTGAAACTAAGGCATCCTCTGGCATGTCAGCATGTTACTGGAACCTTTAAGTTACAGGGTGACGATTGGTGAGTCCATGAGGAAAGCAGTCTGAGAAGGCAGAGGAAAGTCTCTTGAGGGACATAAATCAGACTAGGGAAACTATTAGTGAAGTTCCTATGGGAGGAAGAGAGACATGAACCAGATGATGGAAAAATTTGTTGTGCTATGGAGATTTACAGAAAAAGATAGAAACTAATGAGGAAAGAGGGAAGTACATGGATCCCTAAGTAAAGGGAAATGTATGGATGTTCTGATGGGGCTGGAATGACCAGAGGGAATGTGGGGAACACTGGGCTCTCAGACCACAGGAAGCTGAGTGTGAAATAACCGGGCGAGGTGACAGCCCTAAAGACGCTCTCTGCTGCATGAAATGGAGAGAGATTACTGGTCAAATTACACCCTGAAGAACACATCCGGTCCAGAGTTATTCACTCCAAAAAGTAAGTAATCTGGAATACAGGAAGATCCAGGATGATGCATAGAAGGAAAAACACAAAAAGGGATAGGGTGGGTATTTGGGGATCAATTCAGAGTATTTTTTTTTTTTTAAAGTTCACTTTCGCCATGGAGATTGAGCTCTCATTCTGATCAGTATTCATGTGAGAATTAGGTAAAGGGCTGATTGGAAAATCTGGCTGTTTAAATGTTATAATCCTAGCTTTATCAGCCTGATTTGTAATTTCAGGCTCTCAGGTCTTCCTAGGTCATATCTTTCCTGTTTTCAAATACATAATTATGGTGGGTTTGTTATGTCACCTTGGCACCCAGGCACCTCTCTTTAAACTACATTTAATCTTCAAATAAAGGCAATATCAACGTACCCTTCACCTACCTGGATACAACTAGCCCATGTACAATCAAAAAAACATGTAACCCTCCCCCAAGAAGAGCAAATAAAACACGCTAGCCTTTTTCCCATAAAAAAGGTGAAATTAATTTTACTCCTAATTCACACTCCCCTTTTATGTCCTGTAACTTAAATACTGACATGTGAAGCTAACCATATTAATATATCTTATGTTAGACAAAGGGATGACTGAGTGGAATAAACAGAAATAATTGGTAAATATATCTATACATAAAGTAGTCCCATATCAATAAGAAAGAAATGCCTATAATATTTCAGGTTTTCATTCTGCAGCTGCTCACATGGTCATGGGTGCTTTTTCTAAATACCTTCTTTCACTACCCATTCCATCTTCCGTTTGTCTGCGGTGGGTCACAGTTACTTGTTGGGTGGAAGAACAACCCTAACCTGCACTCCTGAAGGATCTGGGCCATTAGTAGTCTTGTTTGAATTGGGTTGTTGTGATTTTCCACTGATTTTCACCACTGGACATTTGAGTACAGAGTGCACCCTAGGAAATCTGAATTCCAGACTTGTTCCTCCTTATTCCCGTGTAGTAGCAACTCAGTTTTCCCTTGCTCGTCAGGATCTATCACAACCACTAGCAGAGTAACTTTCTTTGCTTGTTGATTCAGTGATAAGAAGAGTCCAAAGTGGCAGCTCTCAGTAAATGAAATTGTATTGCCTGATGAAGGAATTCTTTCCTTTGTAACTGGCAGAGCCTAAATGTGTGAGAGTAAAAATGTTGGCAGTGGATCCCAGTTATAAATGGTACAGTGGGGGACTCGCTCCCACTTCCACCTCTTGGTTTCTGGCCCCTGAATTGTTGCAATAGGAGAAACAGCACCATAAATTGATATAGAAATTTAGAACATATATCATGTCTTAGAGGACAATGCCCCAGCAATATGAGGTGTTGTTAACTATCAGTTGCTGTAATTGAGTCTTTAGAAGCCTGTTAGGTCAATTGTCTCAGGATGCTGGAGAGTATGGAATAGACCAATGGATTCCTTCAGCATGGGCCCATCCCCACATTTCATTTGCTGTGAAATGAACTCTTTATTCGGCAGTAATAACATTACTTCATGGAGTAACATTATGGTGAACAGAGCATTGGGTATATCCATAGGTGGTAGTTTTGATAGCAGTGCTGTAGGGAAGGGAGGCAAATCCATATCTAAAGTGTCAATTCCAATAAGAAAAAAGCAAAGTCCCTTCAATAATGGAAGCTATCCAGTATAATCAGCCTATAATCAGTGTTTGATATCACTATGGGATGATATCAGATTAGGGGCTCAAAGCTGGGTCTCTGTTGGCGGATGGGCACTCAGTGGTGGCTAGACTGGCCGCGGTGAGCGCAAGCCCATGTTGAGCCCATGCGGAGCTTCTATCCGTGCTGCTAGAGCAGATCTCTGAGTCCACTGGCATGAACAGCACAGAGAAAGAAGGCCAGCATCCACAGAAGAGGTTAGCAGTTGGAAAGGATGACTCATTTTGTGGACCACAGCAGTGGATATTTCTTCCTTGTTTTGCTGTGAATATTTGCATATTTTTGATTGTGTGCAGGATAGTTACAGGAGGCAGAAGGCTTTGTTGTGTTTATTTGGGGATTATGTGTGGTTTAAGGAGATGTGTTAAGTATATGTTTGCCAAATATACTGAAGAGGAACTCTGGGGTTTTTTTAATGTGTCTTCTTGGCTAGGATGAACTGCATTTACTACAGTTCCCGTTGCTGTGAGTTTCTGGTTAAGGTGGGCCACCCGAGAGATTCTCGGGAAGATTCAGAGGGCAGAGGGAAGCGTCTGTTGTTGCTGATGTGCTGACTCCCCTCACTGGTGTGAGGCAGCTGTGGACCAGCAGTTACTCTGTTTTCCCCTTGATCTCTCTCTAGCTTCTCTGACTTCGGGGCCAGGACTCTACTTATATATATAATATTTATATCATATATAAAATTTAGAGTGTACCTTTAAAGTATATATACTTAAAAAAGAACATATGTATATATACACATATAAATATGTATATCTTCCTTAATGAGGAGAAACTTGTTTAGAAGTCTAGGACTAATAGAGTCTAGGTATTCTGAAATTTCAGAGTGATCATATTCGTAAGTGGGGATTTGAAGTCCTCTTTTTTTAAAATAGAGAAACTTCAATAATCAGAGCTGTTGAATAATTAGAAGTAGAAAAATATTATTCTTCAAAATTCTTTTGTGGATCGAAAGATGCTTATTGTCAGGTTGGATGAACCCCAGTATTTCTGACCTCACATTTCATCTCCGCTTCCTGTTTCCCAGGGGCTGAGGAAGGGGAGACGTGGCAGAGGAATCAGTCCTCTCTGGCAGACTTCGTCCTGGAAGGGCTGTTTGATGACTCTCTCGCCCACCTTTTCCTTTTCTCCTTGACCATGGTGGTCTTCCTTATTGCTGTGAGTGGCAACACCCTCACCCTTCTCCTCATCTGTGCTGATCCTCGGCTTCATACACCCATGTACCTCCTCCTCAGCCAGCTCTCTCTCATGGATCTGATGCACGTCTCTACAACCATCCCCAAGATGGCGACCAACTACCTATCTGGCCAGAAGTCCATCTCCTTTGTGGGCTGTGCGACCCAGCACTTCCTCTATCTGACTCTGGGTGGGGCGGAGTGTCTTCTTCTAGCTTTCATGTCCTACGACCGCTATGTTGCCATCTGTCATCCCCTGCGCTACACTGTTCTCATGAGCAGAAAGGTGACGCGAATGATGGCTGCCATGTCTTGGTTGGGAGCATCGCTGAATTCCCTAATTTTCACGGCAAGCTTGATGCGCTTCCCTTTCTGCGGGCCTCGGCAAATCCACCACTTCTACTGTGAGTTTCCAGCTGTCGTGAAGCTGGTATGTGGCGACATCACTGTGTATGAGGCCACAGTGTACGTCAGCACCCTCCTCCTCCTCCTTCTCCCCATCCTCTTGATTTCTGCATCCTATGTCTTCATCCTCCACAGTGTCATTCAGATGCGTGCAGCTGGGAGTAAGAGAAATGCCTTTGCCACTTGCAGCTCTCACCTCACTGTGGTTTCCCTCTGGTTTGGTGCTTGCATCTTCTCATATATGAGGCCCAGGTCCCAGCGCACTCCACTGCAAGACAAAGTTGGTTCTGTGTTCTACAGCATCATCACTCCCACATTGAATCCGTTGATTTATACTCTCCGGAATAAGGATGTAGCTAAGGCTCTGAGGAGGGTGCTGGGGAGAGACCTTATCACTCAAAGATCGCAAGTGCAGTTATCCTGGGTACATTAGTGGAATTCCTATCAGCTCCTTAAATTGTTCTTTGTAAACTGCAATGATTTTTTCAAGGGTCCAGAGCCTTGAAGATTATTGCCAAATTGAAGTGGTTAACAACATTTTCAGTATTCTCACTTGCTCTCAGGTATCGACGCCCCTTACAGTACTCTCTTAGTCCATTTGGGCTGCTATAACAACAGTCAAGACTGGGTGACTTAGACAACACACATTATTTCTCACAGGTTTGGAGGCTGAGAAGTACAAAGATCAAGTCTTCACAGTGCTAGACACTCTTTTCCTTTTGATCTCTTTTCAAATGGAATCTTGCCCAAACATGCCTCCCGGATGAGCCTACTTAAAGCAGACTCTTCACTCTTTGTCCCCTGATCCTACCTTATGATCATACTTCCCTGATACTGCATAACATTCTGTTCTTACTGTCTGCTTCCTAGAGTGAAATTTTCAAGAGGGTAAGGAGTTTTACTTTGTTTTCTGTTGTCTCACCAATGCCAAGAAAAGAGTCTGAGATGAAATAAGTACTCAATAACTACTTGTTGTATGGATTAATAAATAAAAGGGACCTAGATTGTCTTACTATCTCACGTGACATGAAAGATAGCCACATATTAATCCCATATAAATGCAGAGACTTGACATCTCAGTGAACTTTCCTAGAGTCTAGTGGGCTGAGGGATGCCAAAGCCACAGACAAATATCTAGATCTTGCTTTTCCTACTAGTTATTCAGTCCCGGGACCATCTTCAGAAGAAAAATACTTCATGCTTGAGAGAAAAGTTATGCTTTCTTTGATGTGTAAGTATCTTCTCTTTGAGAAACAGCTCTTTGCCATTCTATAATAAGATGAGCTGCCCCTCATGAGTAGGGTGCTATGTTATACACAAAGCCCTAAGGTTGGATTTGTGTTGTAACACTCCAATATCAAGTAGAGAAAATCGTCAGAGAAATGGTGCCTGGGTTGTTCCTGAAGGCACAAGGGTCTGATACCAACAGCCAGCTCACAGTCCTAGTTACAGAGAGGGGTTGTTCTTTTGCTACGCCCACCCCCACTCTCTACACACATACACGGCCAACTACGACCTTGTCCAGAGTGCCATAAGATTGTTTGGAAATGAAACAATCTGAGCTAAGCTGATGGATGGTTATTCATGTAATGCTAACATCTGCCAAAGGTAAATAGTATAGCACGTTACGACCCCGTCTTGGGAAGAGTTACTGTTGTTCATTGTTGTTCAGTTGCTTGGTCATATCCAACTCTTTGCGACCCCACAGACTGCAGCACGCCAGGCTTCCCTGTCCTTCACTATCTCCTGGAGTTTGCTCAGGCTCATGTCCATATCTAACTCTATAAATGTAATTATTCTTGATATATTCTAGATATTAACCCTTTATCTTCTATAGGGCTTACAAATATCTCTGTCATTCCATTGGTTGCCTTTTACTCTGTTGATTGGCTCATTTGATGAACGTGTTTTAAAATCTTGATATATATTCCCATTTATTTATTTTTATCTTTGTTGCCTGGGATTTCTGTGTCATATCCAAGAAAACACTGTAAATGCAATGTCATGAAATTTTCTCTCTGTGCTTTCTTATAAGAGTTTCATAGTTTTAGCTCTTACATTAGGTTTTTGATATATTTCCAGTTAAATTTTGAAAATGGTGTAAGGTAAGGGTCCAACTTTTTTCCACTTATTATAGAAATCAAATAGAATAAAATACTTAGGAATTAACTTATCCAAGAAAGTGAAAGATCTGTACACTGAAAACTACCAAACACTGCTGAAAGAAGGTAAAGGTATGTAAATAAATGGAAAGATATCCTATGTTTATGGATTGGAAATATTTATATTGTTAAGACCTCTTTATTACCCAAAGTGATCTACAGAGCCAAGGCAAAACCTACCAAAATCTCAGTGGCATTTTGTTTTCAAAAAAAGAAATATCTATCCTAAAATTTATATGGAATCAAGGGACCTCAAATAGCCAGTACAATCCTGGAAAAGACTAAAACTAGAAAACTCACTGAAAACTTTCTGATTTAAAAACGTACTACAAATTTATAGTAATCAAAAAAGTGTGATACTGCCATATATAGGGATGTACAGACCAATGGAATGGAATAGACACCTCAGAAAAAGACCCTCATATATACAATGAGATTATTATCATCAAGGATACTAACATCATTCAATGGGAAAAGGACAATCTTTTCAATAACTGTGCTGTGAAAACTGGATATCCACATGCAAAAGCATAAAGCTAGACCCTTACCTTACACTATACAAAGCATTATGTGAAAATGTATCAAATATCTAAATGTAAGAACTAAAACTATTAAACTATTATTTTCTTCTTAGAAGAAAACACAAGGGAAAAGCTTCATGATAAGAGGTTAGCATCCAGAATATACAAAAATGACTACAATTCAAAGACAATCACAGTAAAGTAACATAAATATGGGCAAAGGACTTGAAAAGACATTTTTCCAAACAAGTTATACAAATGGTCAACAAGCACATGAAAGGATGCTCAGCCTCACAAATCATTTGGTGTATAATTTATGAAAGTCATCTCAAACAGGATTAATGGCTTGAAAGTAAGACCTGAAACCACAAAACTCCTGGAAGAAAACATAAGGGACGAGCTCCTTGACATCAGTCTTGACAATATTTTTTAGGTATGGCACCAAAAGCAAAAAGAATGAGAGCAAAAAGGAACAAGTGGGACCCTGTTAAACTAAAAAGCAAAAGATTTCCACAGCAAGTGAAGTGAAGTGAAAGTCTCTCAGTCGTGTCCGACTCTTTGCGACCCCGTAGTCCATGGAATTCTCCAGGCCAGAATACTGGAGTGGGTAGCCTTTCCCTTCTCCAGGGGATCTTCCCAACACAGGGGTCGAACCCCGGTCTCCCACATTGCAGGAAGATTCTTTACCAACTGAGCTACAAGGGAAGTCCAAGAATATAGGAGTGGGTAGCCTATCCCTTCTCCAGCAGATCTTTCCAACCCAGGAATCGAACTGGGGTCTCCTACATTGCAGGTGGATTGTTTACCAACTGAGCTATCAGGGAAGCCCTTCACAGAAAGGGAAACCATAAAAAAATGTAAAGTCAACCTAGAGAATGGGGGAAATATTTACAAATCATTTACCTGATATGGGTTTATTTATTTATTTTTGATATGGGTTTAATATCCAAAATATATCAGAAACCCACACAACTCAATAGCCAAAACACACACACACAAATCAGATTAAAAAATAGGCTGAAGAATTGAAAAGACTTTTTCCAAAGAAGACACACAAGTGGCCAACAGGAATATGAAAATGTGCTCAATATGTCTTTGTAGACTTGTCTATTTCTGATGTTTCATGTAAATGGACTCATGTAATATGCGGCCTTTTGTGCCTGGATTCTTTCATTTAGGTTTTCAAGGTTCATTCCTCTTACACCATGCATTCAGTACTTCACTCTTTCAATCGCTGAATACTATTCTTTTGTGGATGAAAAAATTAATAGTCCATTTAAGAAAGAAACAGAAAATTTTCTTTCAGCCAGTCTGAGGATTATAACCCAAGAGACAATATTTCAGAAAGCTCTGAGGACTGTTCCTAATATCTGAGGTCAAAGCAAAGTTAGGTAAGTTTTTGAGTGAAAAGGTTATATATCAAATGATATATTGACAGTTTACACAACCCAGATCTGCACCCTTACAAGATTAAAGGGATCGTTGTCTCTAAGGAGTCATCTTCCTGGCACCAGAGAAAACTGCTCTTGACATGAAGCGGGCATTCTTATGTCTTCTAAGAGGGCTGGTTAATGCATTTACACCAGGTACCCTAAAGGGAGAGGGTGGCCCAAATGTAGAGAAGGAATTTTCTTTTTTCTTTTTTTTGTTGTTTCAACCTTTTTTGTTCAACCCTTTTCTTTTTTAAAATCGGGATATAGTTGCTTTATAATATTATGTTTAGCTTAGGGAGCTCACCTTGGGGTTCTGTGGTGACCTAGATGGGCGGGATTGGGGGGGTGGAGGGAGGCCCAAGAAGGGGGGATATAGGTAGGCATACGGCTAATTCACCTCACTCTACAGCAGAAACTAACACAGTAACAGTGCTCCAATTTTAAAAGAAAGAAAAATTTTTTTTTGTTTTGCCTAAAAATAAGTTTGTATCATCCTATATGGATACACAACAATTTGTTTATCCATTCATCCATTGATTTTGTTTCCACCCTTTTGCTTTGGGGAATAGCACTGCAATGGATATGAAGATACATGTATTTGAAAAACTGTTATCAGTTCTCTTAGACATCCATCCAAGAGTGCAATTCTTGAGTTAGATGGTAATTCTATGCCAACCTTGCAGAAGAGCTGCCAAACATTTCCCATGATGGTTGTACCACTTTACAATCCCACCAGCATGAATGAGCCATCCAATCTGTACACATTCTCACCAACACTTGCTTTTTACCTTTTTTATTTATAACCATCATAGTGGTTGTGATGCAATAAGATTTCTGAACCTTTGATTTTCTGTAACTAAAATAAAAAATCCAAATGATTAAGAATATGTAAGAATCTGCCAGAGATGATGTTGTTCAGTTGCTCAGTCATGTCTAGCTCTTTGCGACCCCATGGACTGTAGCACACCAGGATCCCCTGTCCCTCACCATTTCCTAGAGTTTGCTCAAACTCATGTCCATTGAGTCGGTGATGCCATCCAACCATTTCATCCTCTGTCATCTCATTTTCCTCCTGCCTTCAATCTTTCCCAGCATCAGGGCCTTTTCCAATGAGTTGGCTCTTTGCACCAAGTGGCCAAAATAGTGGAGCCTCAGCTTCAGCATCAGTCCTTCCAATGACTATTCAGGGTTGATTTTCTTTAGGATCAACTGGTTTGATTGCCAGAGATAGAGGGAAAGGAGAGGAAAGAGTGTGGAGGGAACCTGCTTCAGGAGGCCCCTGAGCCTTCTATGGGCTCCAGGGACAACTATGCTCTCTGCTATATAGACAGTTGGCTAGTAGGGATCCATAAAATATGACTGATATGAAGGCCCTGGGTGAGTTATTTAAACCTTCTCAGCCTCAGTTGCCTAAACTATAAAATGAGAGTTAACAGCTATGTCTTTTCCTCCTAAAGGAGTGCATGCCAGACCAAACAAGCCCCTGATCCATGGCCTGAAGGGCTTGGGTCCTGGATCTGCAAATTGGCCTCCTGGCGGCTTTGACTAAAGAGAACATGTGACCTCGCTCATCAGATACCTGACCCTTAGCAGACCTCTAGAAATGTGC